AGATGCTATTTGACATTGCTAGTTGTTTGAGGAGTGAGGAGGGGAAGAGGGAGAGGACCAGTCGGCCTCATGGCTGCAAGTCGCACTGTTTTTTGTCGTCTGCGTCCTCTCAAGGAAACAGTCTCATTAGTTTCCGATTTTTATCTAGCTATCTGTCTATTCTTCCTCTATCTGTGTTCACCTTTTAAAGAGCACTGATGAGCAGAAAAGGACATCCTATGGTCAAGCCTACTGCCCACCTTCCCCGTCTACCCGTTCATCTTAACAGTTTCAGGTGATGTTTCCCGTGTTGTACTGCTCATCAGTCGCTATGATAGCTCACACTCAAAAATCGATCTCATTACTCTCGTGCTGTGTGCTTACGGCTGTAGCCCTTGTGTCTATATACATGACAACAGTCATTGATAAGCAAAAGTACGATTTCCGGTGAGTAATTCTAAGAGCACAGCAGTCAAATAGCTCGTCTTAGGCAGCGTTCAGACTTAGCGATGGCGCGCAATTGCGTTTCAATGCTGACGGTAACGCAGTCGCGGACGGATATCGGTCTCTACCGGTCACTCTCGGGGGAGTATAGGTGTATAGGAGGGTACCAGACTGTGGGAAGGCAGCGCTTACCCTCCTGTTATAGCGCACACTTTTGACGACGCGCGCCAACTGGCGTCATCGCGGAGTCTAAACGCTCCCTAAGAGAGCCTTTGCCGCGTGCAGTTGCGTAGCGGCAATATAACATTCACCATTGAAATGGTACTACAGTGCCTCAGTTACCCACTAACTAGGCCAGTTAAAAGCAGCCAAAAGATCGCCGCCAAAAGATCCGCGTCGCAACCGCGCGCGTCTCATGCTTGATTTCACCTCTTTAGTGGGAAATTGTTAGGTTTTGTTATCGAATTCCATTCTCCTGCCACTTATCAAATTATAGGTTTTACTTAATAAGTTGCAGAAGAATGGAATTTGATGTAATGTTCATTATCTCTTTGATATGTATTACTACCATTTTGAGTCATCCGCTCAAACCTGAAAAAAATGCATTTGACCTAAGTTTTTGGCAAAAAGTTCAACAATGACCAGATCATTATTTTTGTTGTTATAACTTTTTTTCATAAAAAATTTTCAATTGCAGAAGAACAAAAGGACTTATCAAAATACGTGGAGTGGATCCATATTTTATTAACGCAAAGTATAAAACGGATACCGGTGATACGTCAGTCAATCTTTTGTTGGGTGAGATATTATGCAGATTTTTTCAACTTTTTTTTTCAAATTTCGGTAGCAGGAAAAGAGGCGTGGCCGCTAGACATGCGCCACTCTTGAGCTTAACTTCGGGTAGAGTGATTTGAGCTATTTACTTCGCAGGAGCCACTGGATGGCTACGGATGGACCCAGGTCGTAGGAATAAGGCCTATATCTCGTAGCTGATTCCAATATACAAAACGATTTTTTGGATGTGGTCAAAAGGGCTTTTCTTCGTCTTATCTCACATGATACTGCATGGTGGTCCCTTTCCAATACTAGGGGCTGCGAGGGAGGAGCAATAAAAGTAGACTCACCTGGTCCTTGTTTAGAATAGGTTCTTTGTTTCCAAAACCGATTGAGCCTTGAGGTCCCCCACAAAAAGGAACCAAAGTAGTTTCAGAGTGCAGACATGTAGCCCGCTTGGCTATAGTCGGTCGTATGGTTGGCGCGTGGCGTGTTGCGCGCATGTGATCTGCTTATCGCGTCTTGAGGTGACATGAGAAAGATCCAGTCATTATAGCCTTACATCTTAACTCCACGTTTTTTTCTGTTAGCGAGAGGGAAGTTTCCTCTACGGGTGTTTGATCTGCCATCTCCCAGCCATGTAGAGATTCCCTCGGCAGAAAATGTATAGTATAATATTTTAGTGAGAATGGTTTGATGCTAACGAGCACACACCGTCTACTTTCTTTGAGGACTAACTCTAGTCACTAAACGTCATTCATCCTCAGAACGAGAACTACCACTCACCTGCCAAATCTCCGTCCAAACCTTCCCCGCGAAAAATTTTTAAGAAAAAAAATGTCCACGAACGTAGAGAGAAGTTGGTTCCAGCACATCTGGCATGAGCAATGCTGTCGTGAAGAACTTTTGCTTTGCATATTGCAGTGCCATAAAATTTTAAGATGCTGTTTTTTTTGCCACGATAGCATATTTATGACCAATTTGAGAACGGTGTCCATTTTTATAGGGAGCGGCTATTGGGCCACATGCCGGCATCCAAACTATCTTTCTGAAGCTACGACATTCATCGTATTCTCAGCGTTCCAAGGTCCCTATCCTATCGCTTGCCATCTCCCTGCCGTTTTTGTCGCAGGTTTGTCTCCTTTTTTACAGCTTTGAAAGGCTCTTTTGCCAAAAACTTATGTCAGTCGAAGGAATAGTAAATTACAAGTAACGGTCAATTTTCTTGGGGACCCTTTTTTACAGAATCTTCAAGTATTCGGAAACGCATTTGCTTACTTTGTGATTCGAAGGGACTCACCTACAGTCGATTCTGGTGCAGGCGCTGGGGTGTCAGGAAGGCTGGGTTTGGGCGCCTCCAGCCCATTCTCCACCAATTGTTGAAGCGAGCATGCCACAAACGAGCTGAAGTTGCGCTGAGCTCAGCCTTCTGACGCGTCTACGGTGGAAACGAGTACATTTTTGACTCAAGTTTTTTAACATCTGTCGTTGGGTGTATACGGTATGACGATCCCCGAAGAAACAGAAGCCCCCTGCCCCCTTGCTCCAGCAGAAGTCGGCATAAACATTCCTACAGTCCATAACGCGGCAAACTGATGGGGCCTGCCACGGGGTATGGCGTAGCGGCAGTCGCACTTTCCATCGTTGATGGACCGAGCCGACAACTCTTAAAAAACGCTGGGTCACCGTTCCGCTTGAATACAGCCCCGTCGACTCTACTTAATATGTACGTATGTCCCTGTGTAAGTCATGTACTTTTCTAGACGCTGTGCAGATCCGAATATGAGCCAGCAGTAATAACCTTTGGGAAGGGTCGATTTTTTTGATGCTTCGCCCCAGGTTAAAATTACCGTAAGATTACCAGATAAGATAACCAAGATGAACTTCTGAACAAAACTAAGGAAGGGGAAAGCCTGGGGTTGGTGGGGCCAATGTCGAGTACGGTAGCTTTACTCGTATGACGGGCGCTGCTGGGCCTTGGGGTAGGGCACTTCAAAGTTGCTTTATAGTGGCTTTTGCCAGTTCATGTGAAGTAATAGCTGCAAA